CCTTCCCTGCTGTCTTGTCTGTAGGAATGTTGATAAATTTACATTCTGTTCATGCAATTGAGACACTTCAGCAAATTTAGAGGTCCAGTAACTTAAATATGGCAGTCATCATATTAGTAGATGTGGTATAATTAACACACAGTGACAGTGTACTTATCGTCACCTGTTATAACCACATAAGGGAAAGACATTGGCCACATGGTAATGTTAACACTGGATTCACTCAAGTCTCAGGTAAGGGAAGAAAGAGGGCTAGAACTGGGAACCTGTGCTGGATAATTCAGAGATAATGCACTTCCACCAAGAGCAGATTTCCAGGGCCAGAGAGATGGTCCCAAGTGTCAGGGGCTCTGATGCTTTCTTACTTTCTGTGGCATAAGGCATGGCTGTGATGTACTTATGACATGAAGGGAAGACACTGGTGCATGTAAACACCCTCTTTTTATACATACATGTTTTTCCTTTAATATTTGTTTATTTTTCGTGGTTTTTCTGTTTTGAATCACCTCATTATTATGGTTTCAGGTTGTTAGAATAGATAGGTCCTTTTTTGTTGTTATTGTTGTATATTTAGGGCTTTTAATGTCACCTCGAGTGCCAGACCACATTGAATGAAGGCTACTATGTTTCACAGAATGTCTGTATAATCTTATAAAGATCCTATTTTGACATTTTTCATGGCACATTTTATAGAGGGGGCATTCTTGCACACGAGGGGAGTGTTGAGAATTAGATTGCTTTCATTTCTCCTCTCTCTCTCTCTCTCTCTCTCTCTCTCTCTCTCTCTCTCTCTCTCTCTTTCGCCCCTTCCTCTGAGATATGTCTCAGGAGACTCTTGGCAAGTGGCAAGTTCAGATAAGCTACAGCCTGCCATAGGGAGAGGCAGAATACCAGGTTCTGAGTGGCCTTATGTCCTTGAGGACTAAGGTGGCCCATTTCAAGAACTCCACACTTGCTTGCTGCAGGCTGTTCATATGACCTCAGTCCAAAGCTGAGCCCGAGTTCAGTTACAGCTTTTTAAGGATACTGTGTTGCTTCCCTGTCCTATCTATACACAAGTCAGAGTGACATGTGTTTTGATTGTCTACGTTAAGCTTGCTGAACGGAGCCAGCTAACCTGCCCAGGGAGCAGAAATCTTTTCCCGAGCAGCAGCATTTCCCACAAGCCATTGCCAGTGCAGAGGGCGAGGGAGCCACCGGGTTTCACAGCTGAACCGGGGATGTCGCCAACTTCAGAGTCTCTAGCGAATGGGCAAAAGACATTTTAAGACCCAGAAATAGCGAGGAGGATGGGAATCTGAACGGGGCAGAGGAAGTGGGTGGGAGGGAGTCGGAGGGCACGTGACCCGAACAGGTATGTGATGGGTGGGGCGAGAGGAGGCACTGAGGAACGGAAGGAAGGGAGAACTCCCGCACCCGCCATTCCCTCTGGGATCTAGAGACCCTCTCTCTGTTCCGATCCGGGAGTGCTGCAGACGCAGGCTGGGGTCTCAGCGGGCTGTGAGAACTCCGTGTAGCCACAGGTGGCGCCCGGGGCGGCCTGGGAAAGTCACTAGTCAGCAGCGCAGTGGCGGGAACCGCAGCCCGGCGGCCCTGGAGCCTCCCAGGTCAGAGGAGCTGCGGGGCTGGGACACGGGAGGGGAGGGACCGGGGGTGCGAGCAGTTTCTCTGCTGTTCATAAGGACTCTGAAGTTCTGCTGTGTCTTACCATTGTCGATAAATTTCACATCATCTGAACTGGGCCTTATATTGATTTTTTTTTTTTTACTCATCTTATGGTTGCCAGAACATATTATTTACAGAATAATAATCTGATAGAGGGCTAACATTATCTTTTGTTTGCAAATATGGTTCTCTTAGCCACTGTGGCACTTGCTAATCCCCTGGAATTTAAATTCATCCATGCTTTCTAAGTCCTGTTTTACTACTGTGGTAATCAAGAGCGTGGCCTTTGCCCCTGGGGACCAGGCATCTCCAGAGAGCTTTTTATACAGTGATCACTTAAGGAGCCACTGCATTAGATATCAGAAAGTATATTTTAGCAAGCTTTAAAGTTATGATTGTAAACATTGACATTTACTAAACAAACTTTTTAAGCCCCATTTATTTTCCATCTGAGACATACACACTAGAAAGTAAATACAGCATTCAGAAATGTGCTTTCATATGTTTAATTCTTAATATTACACCTTAGATTCTGCTAAAGCACTGTAAGTATGCATGCTGTGAGAGGATATCAGGCCACACTGTTTTTTTACAGTTTTAAAACACAATAGATTAGGACAAAATTAGAAAGCATCTCTTAAATAATTCTGATCACTCAACTATATGAGAAAAAATTTTCTCTTCCTGTTCCAAAAAGGAAAAGCTCCCTTCCCATGGACACATGGTCAAGTTGGCATGGGTGTCCTTGTTTGGTTTTGGCTTTGTTTTGTTGAATAAGTATCTCAATCCTGCCCTGCCTGTCTGGCTCAATCCATGGACACCAGTCTGGTCTCACATGGGATCTGTCTGCTTCTGCCTTCTGAGTGCTGGGATTAAAGCAGTGCAGGAAGACAGATGGCTCAAACACTCACTTCCTTTATTTTTAATTTCAGAATTTGTTGACAGTGACTGTGGACTGCTCTGAGGAGGAGGGACAATGCCTGGACCCTGCTCAGAGGGCTTTGTACAGAGATTGGATATTGCAGAGTTGCCACAGTGTGCTTTCTGTGGGTGAGCATAGTTTTCGTACAGTCTCCCTTGCCCCTCCTCAGGATTCCTGGGAAGACTACTCTGCAAGTGTGTGAGGTTTCTGTGAATGAGTGTCCTTTTGGCTGGTTTAAGGCTTCTTTCATTTTTGTTCCATGATAAGTTCAGAAACTCAGTGGTGTATAATATTGTCATCCCAATCATTGAGTTCCACTTCCACTCTGGTGTTTTGATTGAGCTGTGATTAGAAGTGGTGGGACTCAAGTTATGCTAACTGAAAAATGGTCCCAGAGTGTGTTCACTATTCTGACACAGTATGGCAAATGGGGAGTCATTTGTAGAATCATTTTATTTTCTCACTATCCAGTGAGCACAGTATTGTGTTAGAAATCCAGGTGCTTTCTGAAGAATCTTTTTCTTGCACAGGTCACACTCAGAAGCCAGACCTGCTCACTTTTGAAGCAGAACAGAGAAGCCTAGAAGGTGGAGAGAATGGACACAGTAGCAAATGTACCAGGTATTTTGGAGGGACTGAATTAGATGTGGTTAGTGATTCAAGTGATGTTGAAAATGGAATGGGGGCATGTGTTTAGATGGCTCAGCCGCTAATAGCCCTTGCTGCCCTGAAGAATGAATGGGTTCATTCTCAGCACCCACATGGTGGCTAGACAACCATCAGTAATAACTTTGGTTCTAGAGGTCTGACGCCTTTTCTTACCTCAGTGGGTGCCAGACACAAACACACAGCACATACATACATGCTGTAGAACACTGATACCCATCAGCTTAAATAAAAACTCCAAAGAGAAAATTTAGGAAACAAAGAAAGTGCAAATGAGACATGAGATTGGTTTTGCCACGTTGTTTCTCTAGAAATGTTTTGGAATACCTTACTATAAATAACCTCAAGATTATTATCCTATTTTACATGTCACTGGCTTTATATGTAAGAACTAGGAGAAAACATAATTTATACGACTGTGCATGTCAACGCTGGAGTCCCTGTTTGAATCATTTCTCTTTTCTCATTTCAATATTAAATGATTTTCCCTACTATAATTTATGATCTTGTAAAATTAGGGAAATCGTGCCTTAGGTTTGTTTCCAGAGCTCTCTCCTTTGACATTTTTGGTAGTTTCTTTAGATTCTATTCCTTTAATGGTCACTTTTCCCATTTCCTAAAATGATGCTGTCAGGACTTTGATAGGACTTGCTTAGTATCTCTGCAGAGTTTTAAATCTGTCCTAATTGTCCTCCCATTGATATTGCCTATTGTCTTTCTTCACGCCAATACTCAATGATTTTTATTTCTGTAATTTTAATAGATTTTGAAATCTTGGTTTGATCTTCTGAAGCTTTTTGATCTCTGTGCTGCCTCAAATTTCATATTCGTTTACCATTACTTTATTTATTTTGCAGAAATATCCCATTCCTGTTGAACTGAATTGATTAGAATCTTTACATAAGAGAAACCTCCTTGTTGATTTGTGTTCTCATGTTTGAATGAGAACATGAAAGCCGTGTGTCAGTATTGGTAGAGCATGAGACTCTTAATCTCAGGGTCGTGGGTTCGAGCCCCACGTTGGGTGCCATTTGTAGCTAAAGTTTTCCTGCCTGGCCCACAGTCAGGACATATCTCTGACACCCGCCACTCAGACCCAACCAAATAAACACAGAGACTTATATTGCTTACAAACTGTATGGCCGTGGCAGGCTTCTTGCCAACTGTTTTTACAGCTTAAATTAATCCATTTCTATTAATCTATACCTTGCCACGTGGCTTGTGGCTTACCGGTACTTTACATCTTCCTTGTCCTGATGGCGGCTGGCAGTGTCTCTCTCACCCAGCTTCCTGTTCTCTCAATTCTCCTCTCTGTTAGTCCCGCCTATACTTCCTGCCTGGCCACTGACCAATCAGTGATTTATTCATTGACCAATCAGCAACACATTTGACATACAGACCATCCCACAGCACATATGTATTTGAATCCTTCTGTTTTCTGTCTGCTGTTTCTCTTCACATGCATGTTAGTCAGTGAGTAATCATTTTTGCAAGAACGGACTGTAATTAATCGTTTCATATGAAACCACATGTGTAATATGGTTGAATCTTATGTGGATAGTTTGCTTATCTGAATGTTGAAGAAACTTCTCACTGACCTACGTGGCAGCTGCAGTAAGTTGGATTCTCACGGATACTGTGTTTCTGAGTTCGTTCTGTTGTATTTTCTGCAGGATTCGTTTTGTTGAAACCTTGAATGTGGTCATTGACTAGGCAGAGAGGGGATCTTGGTGAACATTGGGTGAGCATTTCTTTCATGACTAACAGCGTGGAGCATTTTTAATGTGTACTAATTGGCCATCGTAACTGCCTTTTAGCATGATCTGTTAAAGTTATTTGCTTGTTAATTGAAATGATTTTTATTTGTTTGTGTTTTTTTCCTTTATTTTATGAGACATTCTGAGTATTAACTTGTCATACTACAAATAGCTAGCTAATATATTTAACTGCTCAATAGGCTCTTTCTTCATACTTAATTTTTAAGATTTCCGTGCATGCTCTTTATAGCATGTGTCTTTTTTGTCAGTTTCACTGTTAGAGCTTATACATGAAAGTCTGTGATTCATTGTACAGTGGGAGAGAACCAACCCAGTTTCATATTTTCTGTCTGGGTACATGCTTTCCCATCACTATTGGTTGGTGAAGTTGCTTATCATGAAACTTGCACGTCTTATTTTGGTGATATTCACATGGTCACTGCTCTGGTTCTGTTTCTGGATCTGCTGCTCTGTTGCATAGGGCTGTATATCTACTCTTGTGACACTTCCCTGTTCTGCTGGTCCTGTGACTCTGCAGTGTGATCTGGAATCACAGGTGGGATAACTCCAGCTCTGCTCTACATACCTGGCTTGTTCTGTACTTTCACATTCTTTGTGTTTCCCTGTACTAAATGTACATTTAGTCTTCTATTTTTGTGAGTACTGTTTAATGTATTGTGTGTGTCATAGCTAATCACCTTATTCCCCCTCTTCTGTTGAGTTCCCTGGGATTTGTACCAGGTCATATGGATTTCCTCTTCATGGCCGTCAGCAGTCATGCATTCTCTGTATGTGACCAGTTAGGAGTCTCTGAAATAACTGTTACCCATTGCAAATAAAAGTTGTCTGACCCAGGCTGACAGCTGCACCAGGCTATGGTGTGACCAGAACTAGGTAAAAGCAGTTTGAGTATTTCTACATGTAGCAAAATGTCATGAGTGGATTCCCTCCTATGGCCTGTCACTCTCCTAGTCATAGGCTCTTGGCCACGTTTCCAGTACATTGTACTTATTTCCTTCTCTGGAACTGGCCAAAAATTTAAACAGAAAGCATTTTTTTTTTTAATTTATTTATTATGTACACAGAAAAGGGTACCGGATCTCATTACAGATGGTTATGAGCCACCATGTGGGTGCTGGGAATTGAACTCAGGACCTCTGGAAGAATAGTCGGTGCTCTTAACCTCTGAGCCATCTCTCCAGCCCTAACAGAGAGCATTTCATTACACAGAAAACTGTCTTCACACTATGACACCGCTTTAGGAAACCAGAAGGAAAAAACCATCAAACTGTGATACAGGAGACAGCTCTTCTGTGCAGTGCTGACACACACAGTTGGTAGATGTCTAAAATCTGAATCCAAGTTCAGTGAAACACAGAGTGTTATATCCTTCTGTTCCCATGTGAGTTTCCAAACCTTCCTCATATCCCACCAATCCAGAGAGACATAGATTCTGACTGGCTGTCTTAAATTATTTAATAGAGTTTTCTGAATAAACTCATACGCAGAAAATTTTCCTAAGGAGCAAAATATACCAGAAGTCATTTATAGTTCTGAGGTTCAAGGAGAGACATTGGTTACAGACTATACATAGTAGGACAACACAAGGGTGCTGAGCAGACAGTTGCTGATCTGTCCTGGTAGCTCTGAACTGCTGTGCTACATCAGGGGATTAACCAAAGTCTCTCAAAGGCTGGTGGTGTGGCACAGGTGGCCCATATCTAGGTAAGGTCATTGATGACTTTTCTTGCCCACTAGCTTTCACAGTACATTTTGGCACTTTGAATGCTATCATCAGGGAATCTAAGATATTTCTTAGACACTATACTGGTCTTAGTGGTCTGCTATTTTCTCTTCCTCATCTTGTTGATATGTAAAACACCAGCTGATATAGAGCATGGGTTTTATGGCTCATTTCAAAGATTATCAGAGCTGAGCTTTTTCATGGGATATTTTTGATTTCTGAAGTTGAGAATTGTATTTCTTACAATTTGGAGTAAGTTGCTACCCGACCTCTGTTAACTCCTTTAATTTGAATATTTTCTCTTTCCTTTTTGTTCTGGGTGCAATTGGTGCACTGTGCTGAGTTAGTGTGGACAGAATAGACACCTCGTCCCTGTCCTGAGGAGATTGGAATTTTTCCAGTTTTCCTCATTTAACAAAATGTTGGGTTTAGGTTTGTGGCTTCTAGTTTTTATAATGCTGAGGCATGTTTCTCCTATTCCCAGATTCTTCAGATCTTTGATAACAAGCAAATGTGAAAATTTCCCACAGGTGTTTGATGGATATATTGACATGATCATGTTCCTTCTATTACAGTCTAGATATTTGCTGTCTTACATTGATAGATCTATACATGTTGGAACAGTCTTGTGTCCCTCAGCGTGGGAGGATAATATTGGTGGTTTCTGCAACCTTCGAAGGGATGTCTACCGTTTGCAGTAGTTTGCATTCCCAACAGGAATTAGAATAAGGATCCACTTTGCCATTTCCTCAAATGCATTCCTGGGCATCTGATTATATTTGTTGTTTATTATTATTTGGGGGGGATACTCATTATATAACTGTTGTGAAAATAGGTATGTATATGAGGCTAGCAGCAAATTACAGAGTTACTCTGTGGTTCTGCCTAAGAGCCTCCTTCCCCCCTCTCTGTTTTTGGTATTTTTATCTTATTTTATGTATACATTCGTTTTGGCAACATGTATGTCTGTGTGCCTGGTGCCTCTGGAGGCCACAAGAGGACATTGGGTCCTGTAGGAGAGTGGTTATGGATTGTTGTGAGTCTGAATGATGGTCCTAGGATTTTAACCCAGGTGGTCTGGAAAAGCAGTAAGTGCTCTTAATTACTGCGCCATCTCTCCAGCCATTTGTTTTCTTCGTGTTAGCCACTCTGGCTAGGGTGAGATGGAGTATCAGTTATGTTCAAGTTTGTAATTCTGTCATAGTTGAAAACTATGAACACATTTTACAATATTTTGGGGGCTTTATGGGTCTTTTAAGTGACTGTAAATGCAATATTATCCTAATTTATTTCTCAACCTGCTCATTATTGCCATATTCTAAACTGTTGATTTGTGTATGATAATTCTTTATTCTTCAATATTACTAAGGCATTTGTCAAGTATAAAAGTTTTTGGTGGTATCTTCAGGTAGGTTCTATATGCAATCACACCATTGTTGAAAAGGTTGAGTTAAATGTCTTCCTTTTCTACTGTATCTCTTTGTTTCATTGTCTGTTTCGAATGTCTATAGCTAGTTCTGTTATTATTATTGCTACCTGTGTATGGGTGGGTGGTTGTTCTGCATGTATGTCTGTGCACCACACATGTGCAGTGTCCAAAGCGGCTAGAAGAGGGCATGGGATCCCCTGGAACTAGAGTTACAGACAGTTTTATGAGCTGCCATTTGGTTGCTGCTCTAGAACCCCAGTCCTCTGGAAGAACAGCCAGTGCTCCTGACCACCAAGCCTCACTCCATCCCCTCTAGCTAGTGTAAAAATCTACCTTAAATAAGACTGGAGAGAATGTGTATAAAGGAAGACATGGAAGAAAGAAGCTTTTGCTCCTTGTCTACTTGCCCCCGCCTTGCTAGCAAATCTATTCCTTACTGTCATAGATGTAGGCATAGAGCCTACATCCTTGTGATTCTAGCATATACCGAAGACCAGCTGAGACATCCAGTCTTTGTTGATTCTAAGGTTTTTTTGCTCATAGTCAGCCTTTGTTGGATTAACTGGATTGCAGCCTATAAGTCTTCTAATAAATCCCATGTCTCTCTATATGTAGAGAGATTCATTCTGTAAGTTCTGCTCTCTAGAGAACCCTCATTAATACAATATACCATTCCTATGTCCTCTGGTTTCTGCTTGGTAGGATTAGTGAAGCTATTGAATTATGTCTGTTTCCTTCATCAAAGTTGAGAATTTCTCACCATTGCTTCATAGTGTAGATGTCACAGCTACAAGCTGTTTTTCTTTTTATTGTCTTAATTGTGTTGGTGATAGTATTAATATCCTAATTTAGTTGTCATAATGCTTAACTCATTGAGCATCATTTGAATTCTTGGTGTAATTGATAAATATCCATGGTTGTTTCTGAGAGAATTTGGTATTTTATTTACCTATGTTCTCCGTACACTTTCTCAACTATTGTTTAAAATTGATCATTTAAGAAATTTGGCCACTGTCTGTTATTTCAATATGATGGAAAAGAGTAGAGCAGTTCGCCTGAATCCTGAGGGATGTACATAGCATCGGTCTATTCCATGACCAGATATGATCAGATGGAATGAAGTTGGTTTTAAGTTTCATCTACTCTCCCATTGTCACTCTATAACATTGGAGCATTTGCTAGGTAAGAAACCATCCGAATGTGCATTGCCTACCAAGAAAACTATTTGAGATGCTATAAATACGATTGATGTGATACATATGTATATCTACATATAATGATGCCATGGTTATGAAAACATTGTTTAATAATAGTATGCAAATATTCAGAATGACTCATGACACATGGATGAACATAAGACATATGTGTGTGTAAATGTCTATTTATCTATCATCTATCTAATCTATCTATAGAAAGAATTATATACATACACACACATATGTAAAATTAACCTCCTAGGCATTTATTTCAATTTCACTTTCTCAATTATCATTCATTCTCCCTTAGCTATCTATCATTCACTGTGTACTTCTGACCTTTTCAGCTTGTACTCCATAAAATCTCCTTGTTATTCTTCTGTGCTCCTGGAATCTCTTTCAGACAGGGTTTGCTTATTTCTAAATTATTAAACGTCACTCATCTGCACATGGATAATCAATCATTTTCCCAGCACAGAGTGTTCAAAGGGCTCTCTCTTTCCTGGGTTTGTTGTTGACATATGTAGCTTATATGATCTCTCTGGTATATGTTCATTTCTATGTTCCCTGTTCTAGTCAATTTTCTTCATGGTTCTTTATGTGCGGGATCATGCTGTCTTTGCCTTGTGCCTCTGAGTTATGATGTATGATCAGATCTTGTGATACCCCCAGGAATACCCTTTCTTAGGATTAATTTTGATACATGTGACTTTTCTGTGTCCATGTGACTGTTTCCTTATCTACTTTTGTGAAAAATATCAGTATTTGGCTGATGGAGATTGCTTCGAATCCACTGGTTGCTGTTAGTAATATTTTCACCATGGCTTTTAGAGAGTTTGGATAGGTCCATTTCCTTGTGTACTCTTATTTTTCATTTCTTTTTCCCCCTGAATACCTTAGGGATTTCTTCATAAAAGTAAAGTCATCATTACTTAGTCTTATTCCTAGATCTTTTTAATGCAACCTAAATGGGTTTAATTTCTAATTTACTTCTAAAATTGTCATCATTGACATATAGGAAAACTAGTCATTTTGTGTGTTAGTTTTGTATTTTTTCAAAAATAGCTAAAACACTTATCAAGTCTGAGGTTTCCCCCTGGAGTATGTGAAGACCTTTTTGTGTGATTGTGTATAATCATTAAAAAGGAATTTGGTGCCTTTCTCTCCTCTGTGTTTCTCCTTTCTCTCCTTGTCTTATTCAAATGTCTCTGGCCCACTCTCATTTCTCTGGATTAAGTGAGACTGGAGAGCACATGCATCTTTCTTTCTTACCGTTTTCCTGCTAATGCCTGTCAATTTTCTCTGTAGTGTACTGTTGACCTAGGTGTAACATACATGCCCTTTACGTGATGAGCCAGGTTACATTTTTTTCCCCTAGTACCTTTAGGAGTTTATCACAAAATCTTGTTGAACTGTGTCTTTTGATATTTCCATTTCTATTGAGATTTTCATATCACAGGGCTTTTATTTGTTATGTTTTTTTTTAATATTGTAGTTGGTAAAGTTACTATTAGTATTTTTCAGTTTTCTAGTAAGAAATAGTGTTTTGCTGGTTTTATGTGTTGGCCATGGTCTGTTATTCCTCCGCTCTCCTCTATCTATTCCTTATGTAAAATGTCTTATTTCCTGTGTCCTTGTGGATAACTTCTCTCTGATTTTTTAAAGTATAATTTGCCTCTAATTATGATCTGCAGTGCTGCCTGAGTGGATGACCTTTGTTATTTCACAACTTTCTTCAAGTACACTTCTCTATGGATTTTAAGAGCCAGTGTTTCTGAGTGCAGTGACATGGTTCACAGTTACTTTCTCTCAGCACTCCAAATGTATCCTTCCATGCTTTCCTCTCTATAGGAATGTTGACAAGACTGCTAATATCATTTGATTTGGGGGTCTTTATATGTAGTTTGGCATTGTCTATAACAGAGTTGGATTAATTTTAGTTTTATATTTTTGACTCCTTGATGTGAAATGTCAAGAAGAATTCCAGTCTTTGTTCCTGAGACAGAAACTCAGAGAAGAGCAACAGGGAGAATGGCCGCTTCTCCGATAAATGTGCCCCAGGTTGGTGTTGTGTCTAGATTCATTTGAAAATTGTTTTTATATTGAAACTTCATTCTTTTAATTCCCGGCCTCTGGCAGTGTCATCTAAAGTGTTTATTTTGTATTCTTCATATTCATACTCTTTTTCTTCTCTGATAATCCAGATTAGATCTTTAAATCTTGTTATATACATAGCACAGTCTCATCCCATTGTATCTTCCCTCAGTTATTACTGTGGGGACGTAATTGTCATAGTCTTAAGACTGCAATTCTGAAATATTCCATGATGACCAAATGATGACCAAAGAAGTATATTGATGCCCAGTTCATGCAGAACATGGACCTGTGTCTTTATATATTAGTGAAGAAGGAAGGCCACACAGAGGTTACTTTTTAGAGATAGTAAGGTTTCCAGAACCAGGTTTATGAAAGTGGCCATGGAAATACCCACAACTTTTGGCTAACATCATTGAGTAATTTATGGAAAAGTAGAATGAAATGAGATTCCCTGTCTTGAATCCTAATACTAAATATTTTCAGCACCCTACAGAGTGCAAATGATGGAAGGAATATGTGGCTAGCTCTTACCATAAAACTGATGTTTCTGTGAGGAGCTGCAGATTGCAGTATAGTGGATTCTCTCTTTGCTATTTGATTTCACGCAGTGATGATGTACCTATGGGTGTGTTGACATCTGAAATCTATTTGTCTCAGGAGAGGTTCTGCTCATATCATGCTCTTGATTCCAGTGTTCAGTGGTAAGTTCTCAATAGACAGATCAGTATTTTCTCTTTGTTATTTGTTTTATTTTTCAGACAGGGTGTAAGCAGTCCTGTCCCCACCTCTATATTGCATCACGTGGAATATATTAGTAAGAATTTTCTAGAGAGTATTGACTTCGTGCTGTGCATAAGCCCTCAATTTTGAAGCATAAACAAATGTCCCTTTTAATGACTTTGCTCTCTTTCTTCTTTTATATTTTTGGTTGTGAGCCTAGCCTTTAACGGCTGAGCCATCTCTCCAGCCCTCTTTCTTTCTTTTGAAGGAGGAAGGCTCCCTGTATTTTGTTTTTTTCCTTTCCCTGAAGCTATGTATTATGCAGGTAGAGATTCAGAAGAAAAGTGGCGATTTCTTTCTTTGAAATTTTTTTAAAATGTAAGTATAGTAGTATTCACCAGCCATCTTTTGGGCACTGCATGCCTACATGATGTCTCATGGACATAGTACATAGGCATCAGACTCTTGACACTAGAATCAGTCACTGTAAAGAGCTACTATGTATGTAGAGAGAATTAAACTGGGTTTTTCTGCAGGGACAGCAAGTGCCCTTTACTTCTGAGCTATCTGTCCAGCCCCCAGTATTATGGGTTATATTACTGTTTTGTGACATAGCCAGTATATAACCTGGCATTTTCTATTTTTTGGAAAATAAAGGAAGAGTCATAATGATACTTACCTGTGCAACCTAAAATCATGTTACATGATTGAGCTCAAATACTGAAGAAAAGAATAGAAGTGAACTTATAAGATTCAAATTTTCTTTTCTGCCTCTTCTTCCTCTTTTTTTTTGGGGGGGGGCTTTTTAAGACAAGGTTTCTGTGTGTAACCTTGCCTGTCCTGGAACATGCTATGTAGACCAGGTTGGCCTCAAATTCACGGAGATTTACTTGCCTCTGCCTCCTGTGAGATTAAAGGTGTGCACCACCACTACCCAGCTAAGATTCAAATGTTCAATTGAGCCAATTTCATGATCAATGTTATACTCAGAATTAGTGAAGAGTTAGTATAGTTTAATTATTCTGTAGTGAAACCCCATATGGAATTTCTGAAATTTTTATTCATCTGTATTGGTTGTGTGGAATTTTAGAAAAATTTAGATAATATTCACACTGTCTGATGCTGTTTTTCTATTTACTTCATGGTTGTCAAAAATATTCTCATAAAATAATGTTACAAAGTATTTGATTCTATGTGTTGTTTGGAATGTTCGATGTATACATACTCCTTACTGTTTAAAAAAACTAATTTGACTATTAATTCATCCATAAGTTCTGCATTCCATATTCTTTGTTCTAGAAACAGTGCAGCATTACACCTAGGCCTTAGCATCTGAGCTTAGTATTTTAGGTTAGAGTCATGTGAGGCCCAGCTGCAGACAAGATTGATCCCCTGTCTGTATTTGAGCAAAGTTGACAGTTGTCGAGTGTGGAAGCACAGTTTTGCTCATCATAACTTGACTGTCTGAGAGAAGACATTGTGGTCCTGTTTGATTTCAGCACAGCCTTTGTAGTTACATTCCTGCATCTACATCGCAAATGTGTGTCTTATATTTCTGACAAGTTTGCTGATTGTGAGAGTATATCATCCTGTTTTCACTGAGATAGAAAATACAATAAAGAGCATGACTATTCTAGAAAGTGTCCTTTATTAAAATTAACTTCTACTTTTATTTTATGTGTTTGAGTATACTTGCTTTAATGTATGCGTGAATGCTACACCTGCAGAATTCAGAAGAGAGTATTGGATCTGATGGAACCAGAGTTAGAATCTGTTGTGTAGCACCATGTGGGTGCTGGGAGCCAAGTGTGAGTCCTCTGGAAGACTAGCTAGCACTCTTCTGACCCATCTCTGTAGCATCTCTAAAAAAAGTTTGTCTTTGAATAATTGTCATACCCCATCTATACCACAAGAGTCTCTAATTCTTTAGATCTCTTTGACCTAGGAAAACTTTTTTTCCCAGCAGCACATGGTAAATGGGTAATTTTCCATTACAGGATCCATTGACATTCAGGGATGTGACTGTGGACCTGTCCCAGGAGGAGTGGGAATGTTTAGACTGTGCTCAGAGAACTTTGTACATGGATGTGATGTTGGAGAATTACAGCAATCTAGTCTTTGTAGGTAAGAATGCTCTTGTTGTAGAATTCCTGACTCATCCTTTGTATTTACCTACTTTGTATGTATGTAAACTCCCTGAACTGCCTAGAGACAACCAGAAATAAGGGAAATTCTGATAGTGAACATAACTTCTTCATGGTACTTTTTTTTTTTTTTTACATTTTTTCTGTGTTCTCTACAGGATTAACCAATGCTATATTCTGGGCAATCTCTCCAGCCCTCTTTTGTAGTTTTTAAAGAAAATTTCAAAGCTCAAAGAAAGCTGAATACTTAGAGCAAGGAAATGCATTGCTGTATACTTTTTAATTGAACTATTTTGATTTCAGTATTGAATTAAAGAATTCACCTTTTACTAATTTTTTAAAAAATTGAGAGGTTTTAACATAAAGAGCTGTTGCTGGTAAGCATGTTTTTATTTTTTTATATATTTTTTGACATATGGTCTATAGTCCTGGCACAGCATCATTTTAATCCTAACACTAGGGGTTGCTGAAGCAAGAGGACCTGGTGAGATCCAGGTGAGCCTGATTTACATAGCAAGTTCCTAGCCAACGAAGGCTACAAAATGGACTCTGTTTCAAAAACATAAACAACAAGAAAATAGAGAAACATTCTTCCTATGATGCTTCAGAGAGCTCCCATCTCAAAGTCCATTATTGCGTGATGACCCATTTGTCCAACCTTCTGAAAGGTATGCAGATTAGAAAAGAATGAGAAGGCTATCATTGATCCTTTTGGTTTGATAGAGATCAGAGTGGAGGTCCTTCTGAGCATCCGTTTAATGACAGTAAATCACAAAAGGCCTCTGCTGAGAGTTCTGTTCCTAAGAATTGCTATTTTACTTGCCTTAGAGAACTTAAGGAAACATTAGTTAGTGAATCTGTTACTTAGGCATTAATTCTTATTAACCATAATTGTGCTAACTTTCCAGAGAACCATCATATATGTGGAAAATATAAGAAATTCCTGGATCAAGGCTCAAAGCATATTGTCCATCAGCATGTGAATATCCAAGAGAAGTCTTATAAATGTAGTGAGCTTGGCAAAATAATTCATAAATCCTTCCAATATTCAACTTATGACACAAGTGATACTGCAGAAGACTACATTAAGTACAGATATGGTAACCACAAGGGTGCTTCTATTGAGTCATCAGTCATAAAGAGGCATAAAAATGGGGACTCTGGAGAAGAACCTTGCAAATTTAAAGACTGTGTGAATTGTTTAAATTTGTTTCCCATCAGTCAAAATCAAAGAAACCACTCGAACTTCAGTATACACCAGAAAAATCATTCTGGAGAGAAACCTCACCAATGTAAAGCCTGTGACAAGTGCTTTTATCAGTTGTATCAGGTTAAATACCATTACAAAACTCATACTGGAGAGAGACCTTACAAATGCAGTGAATGTCACAAACGCTTCAGTCAGCTGACACACCTAAGAAGCCATCAGACAATTCATACAGGGGAGAAACATTACAAATGTAATGAATGTGGCAAAAGATTTAGCCGACTGACATACCTAAGAACCCATCAGCGAATTCATACTGGAGAAAAACCTTACAAATGTAGTGAATGTGACAAATGCTTCATCCAGAAAGCCCAACTTACAATACATCAGAGAATTCATACGGGAGAAAAACCTTACAAATGCAGTGAATGTGAGAAATCCTTTACATGTTGCTCAGGTCTTAGAAAACATCAGCGAATTCATACTGGAGAGAAACCTTACAAATGTAGTGAATGTAAGAAATCCTTTACTAGTGGCTCAGATCTTAGAAGACATCAGAAGATTCATACTGGAGAGAAACCTTACAAATGCAGTGAATGTGACAAATGCTTTATTCAGAAAGTCCAACTTAGAATACATCAGAGAATTCATACGGGAGAGGAACCTTACAAATGCAGGGAATGTGTCAAAGTCTTTACCCACCTCTCAGGTCTAAGAAAACATCAGAAAATTCATAGTAGGGAAGGAAAGTTTCCATTAGTAAATAATGTGGCACATGCTTTATCCAAGTTCTCTTCTTAGGAACCATTGCAGGCTTCACACTAGAGAATCATTATGAACATGAGAAACTTCCAAAATCTTGTAAGTAATGTTCAAATTGTAGAAAAGATCAAGAGTTTATATTGAGGAAAATTATTCAAATATTATGTAGGAAAATTTTCATTAAGACGTTCTACTTTTTCAACCTCAAATACTTCATAATGAAGACAAAATGGAAAAGCCTGAAGAATATGCTCTTATGTAACCATTTCCTGGAAACTGAAATGTTCCATCCTGAAGGAAAGTGATTAAGACAGGAAATGAAAACCCCCAAATAACTCCGGAAGTCCCTGAAACTGACAGAATTCACTCTGGTTAACTCCCATGAAGAAACTCAGATCACTCTGCTGTTTAGAAGAGGCTTTGACAAACTGAGCCACCCAAATAGGATGCCCTTTAACGTGTAGATATGCCTGCATTGTGCTCCAGCTGTCCAGTGTTCAAAAGCTGTATTCCATGCTGGGTTTGAGTTTCCTGATGGCGGCTATCTTTGAGTCCCTCTTGTTCCTTTAAGCACCTCTTTTCCCATATTTCTCTGAGTATCCCCAATAAAGCTCATTGGTTCAACAAGATATATCAGTGGCATCTGTACTTGCTTCTGTATTCATTTCTCATTTTGTGAGAGTAGATGCATGTGTATGTTCTGTCTTCCCAGGAAAAGTCTCTCGTACAACATGTGCTAAAACCTATCTTGTTCTTCCTATCCTGTTGTACACCACAAAATTAAAATTAAAGAGAAAGCATTTGGTCAGCTAAATCAGGCAAGATTGTTTGTGATCACTGCTCCAGGCTTACTACCATGGTAGTACCTGGTCCTGTTAAAAGGATTCAACACAGAATATATAGGCATAGGGAGCCTCACAGAGGAGACTGCTCTCTCTCTTTTGCATTCATGGAGGAGAGAGTGAGAGGTGTACAGGGAGACACATGAAAATACAGTTACAAAACTGTCAGTGACAGATATCCAAACTGGGCTGTGTCCATGTATGACTCTTAATCATGCTTAGAACCCATGGTTCAGTCAAAGAACAGTGACTCTTAGTACACTGCTGCCTGTGGGCAAATACTGAATGCCATTGTGCTTTCCTCATGTCCTGTTGTATCTTAGAAATTCCACTGTGTAAGTCCCAAGAACTGAACTGAATTTCAATTTCTTTTGGCTAAATCCTTTACACAATGCTAATATTGTAGATTGAAAAGTCATCATGAAATGAAACTCAAGAAAATGTATTAATAGAGACTTATATCCAGCTTAATTTAATGTGTGACTCTTCAAATATCAAGAAACTACAAAGCTTTAAAGAGATAAACTATGAACAACATAGCGCATACATGCTCATGTACAGCTTAGAATTCCTCAAGGGTGTGCTGGAAGATCATTTTGCAGGACTGAAAAAAAGTTGGGGAAACATTTAGTCTAATACCAAAACATTGTATTAGAATATTGATACTTGTGATGGCTATTCTTGGTTGTCAACTTGTCTATATCTGTAATTAACTAAAATGTAAAAACGGAGGGGCACACCTGTGAGAGATTTTTGTTTAATTTGAAGTGCTAAAATCCACTTATAATCCAGATCTTTGAAGTGGGAAGACCCATCTCTAATCTGGACCAAGCTTTCGGCTGGAAGCCTACATAAGGACATGGAAAAAAGAAGCTGTTGCTTGTCTGCTTACTCTCACCTCAATAGCAAGTCCATTCCTTCACTGGCATGAGAGCCTGCTTCTTCAAGATTCTGGCATGTACTGAAGACCAGCTGAGACAGCCAGCCTTGGGACTAAACAATTACTGGATTCTTGGACCTTTTGTACACAAGTAGCCATTGTTGGTGTAGCTGGACCACAGTTGAGAGAGAGATTGATTCATTCTATGAGTTCTGTTCTAGTGAGGGGTCAAGTCTACATTCATCTTGTAACAGAACTTGTCAAATAATGAATCTCCCACATGGTACTGGTTTTGAAGGGTTCATGGAGAGCAGCTGAGGTCTGGCATGTGCGGCAGGGTCAGAGGTTTCCCGAGAAGAGAGAGTATTGATGAATATGCAGCCCCAGTTACAGTGGAAACTCTAGCATATTGGAATTGCCAGGATCATGGGATGACTTGACCTGGAAGCTTCTCCCCTGCTGGTGAGCTTTCATAGCATCTGAAAGTACTAAGCAAAATGCTGGAAGAGAAAAGTTATTCATGATCTTACCCAGCTGTGGACCCTGCCTGGCATAATACCAACTGCCAGAAAAGATGTGCCACTTGTACCTTGTCGTCTGTAGGATTGTGGGGCCACCATCTCATTACTCATTGGATTTGTACCATTGATTATTCGTGGATGGCACTGTAAATAGTCAAAAATACATCAATGGAGAGGTCATGGATTCTATGCATTGAAATATTACATACTTGTTAGTGGGTTCATTGCCATGTTGCCTTGTAAATATTTATTCTTTCCAGATTAGTGCTTCTCTTACTTTTGGTCAGAGATGGTTCTTTATTTGCAGCGAGTGGTAGTTATTTCAGAGACTCTCTCCTGGTCAAAGTGCTGACAATAAGTGACTCTGGAGGACTTGTTCTATTGACATCGCACAGTGCGTCCATTTCTGTATGGAACATCTTCATCACCATATCTGATGCCCCAGGAACGCTGATGAAGAAGTGAAAGAATATAAAAGCCCCAAGTCTGAGAAGACTGCCAAGAATACTGTCCTGACCACCACTGTGGTTACCTGCAAGTGACAACTTCATGCAGCCTCACCGCTCCTGAGGAATTATTGACAGTTAATGGTTACTGAATGGAAAAGGAATCATTATCTTTGGAAGTGGAGCTACATGTAAAGTTTCCAATTCTCCAGTCAGTCTCCTCTCACTGAAAGCAGTGTAAATGAAACTCAGTGTGTCTCAAAAGATCCAAAACATGGAAGAGGGTGACTTGATAAGGATAATGGATTCATCAGGTAAGGTAGAGGGGTTAGGGACTGTTCTGTGATGCTGGAGTTACAGGCAGTTGTGAGCTGCCATGAGGGCATTGCTCCAGAGCCCCAGTCTTCTGGAAGGGTAAACAGTGCTCCTAACTGCTGAGCCTCACTCTGGCCTCTCTAGCTCGGTTAAATCCTTATGTTAAACACAACTGCACCCTTGTCCTGTTACAGTGTCAAGGGCAGTTCTACACGTTGTTCCTTTGTATTGGACTGTAAACATATATTGACACATATAACATGAATCTTAAAAGGTCTTATAGAAAACCCAGAGCCAGATATTGGAGTGAAAGCTGAAAGATCAGAGAAGCAGAATAGCCAGCTATTAGCTTACCTTTATGAAATCCTCGGCCTCAAGAGAGCGAGTTCCTGTTTCCCCTATACCTTTCTGTGTCCTGCCATATTCCTTCCTGGGATTAAAGGCATGTGTCACCATTATGGTGATATTTTATTTGTGCTGAAACGTGATTTTATTTGTATGTTAATAAATAGTTACCTGGGGGTCAGAGCTAATAGCAAGCCATTTAGCAGAAGTCTGGCAGTGGTAGCACTCGCCCTTAATCCTGATCACATGACAGGCAGAATGTCTATGCGTTCAAGGATACAGCCAGCATGGAGACACATGCCTTTAATCTCAATACCAACCATAGAGACCTGGAGGTCTGTACAGACAGGCAGTGATGAGGAGGTCATGTGGTTGGGTTTAGAACCAATGAGAAGGCAGAATAGAAAGTCAGTAAAAAATACAGACACACAGGAAGTAGGTCTTTTTCTCAGGGGAAGGACGACAGCAAGGGGGTAAGAAGGTGGTCTTAACTCTTGGCTGCTGCTTGATCTCTGGGCTTTTAACTCTGCATTTGGCTCTGTATTAATAAGACCATTTAGAAAAACATCTACACACCATTGCCTGGCTCTGTAACAATTTTACAGTTAGAAACTTCACTTTAGATTAAAATAGAATTAGAAAGCCACTTTTGAATAATTAGGACCATTGACCTATATAAGAAAAAAAAATTTTTTTGGTTCAAGAAAAGCACCCTGACTTACAGACCCATGATCTATACTTACAGACAAATGGCTTTTGTTTTAATTTAATGGTTTGTTGCCATGCAGTGATATGACTGTGGCATTCCCCCTGGAGGAGAGAGCAATGTCTAGACCCTGCACAGAGATTGTGGCACAGAAACCCCCTGTTGGAGAATTATAGCAGTCAGGTTTCTGTGGGTGAGAATAGTTTCCTAGCAGTATCCCTTGCTCCTAAGGGTTCTTTGGAAAAATACTCAAATGTGTGAGCTTTGTTTGACTGAGTCTCACATCTCAAAGAATAAAGTGAAATCCTCAGATGAAAAGACATTGTGTGTGTGTGTGTGTGTGTGTGTGTGTGTGTGTGTGTGTGTGTGTGTGTGTGAGAGAGAGAGAGAGAGAGAGAGAGAGAGAGAGAGAGAGAGAGAGAGAGAGAGACTTTTTCTCTTCATTTTTTCCTTTTTGTGATATGTTAGGCTTCATTCATGCCTTTTCCATGATCAATTCAAATACTCAGTAGTCTTTAATGTTGTCACCTCGATTATACAGCTAGATATTTGCCTTTGAGTTTTTGACTGGGCTATGATTAGAAGTGGGACTCAAGTTATGCAAAGCCAGCTTTACATCACAAAAGTGTCTCTAATTTGTTGAGTCTATTTTATCAAGGAAATCATGAGAATTACAGCAATCTAATCTTTGTAGATAAAGATGCTCTTCTTGGAGAATTCATAACTCATTCTTGCATTTACCTACTCTCTGAAATGAAATAAGAATAACTTTGGTAATAGGCAGAATTTTTCATGGTATTTCCTTTACACTTTTCTGTGTTCTCTACAAGAGAAACCAATGCTGTAACTACTGAGATAGTTCTCCAGCACACTTACCTAAGTTTTAATGAGAACATCAAAGGTCAAAGCAAATTGAATGTTCAGAGCTGGGATATACGTTACAGTTCACTTAGTAATTGGAATATTTTGATTTTACTATG